CTCTGAGAGAGATAAAAGACAGCATAAGAGACAGCTCCAGAAGCGGACTGTCACCGACACTCCGTCCAGCCCCGTTGCCAGCACTGACTCGAAGGCTAGTCCATTCGGTGGTGCTCGGCCAATCGATACTGCTGCCAGAGAGAGACAAGTTGAGGAGCGTCGTCAACTAGCGCTCCGTCAGAAGAAGGAGGCCGATGAGAAGGCCAAGGCCGAGAAAGCTGAGAAGCAGCGCCAATCCAAGGAGCAGGTCAAGAGCGAGAAGCCCGTGCCAGCCGCCGATCCCAACGGCAAGGACAGCATGGACATCCCTCAGGGCGCCAAGAACTTCGAGATCCTCCGGCGGGCCGGTGAGGACGAAAGTGGCATGGCTGCCGAACAAGACCAAGCGGAAGAAGCTCGTGCTGCCGCTGCGGGTGATGAGGCCTCGAAGCAGGCTCCCGCCGGCAAGACGAACGGTAACTGGCGGAGCGGTCCTGCCCAGCCCGCCGAGGCTGCCGCAGACGAAGAAGGCTGGAGCACTGTGAGCTCGAGGCAACGCAACAACCGTCGTGGACAGTCTGGACGTACATTCGCATAGATTTCTCGATACCCTGATTCATGTCATCGTTCATAGCCGAGTACTCCTACGCTGGTTTCAGGGAGAAGTAGGGTTCGTCGCTTGTCATTTTACGGACGCCACAAATCTGACGCTACAGCCTCTATGCTCTCAGCATTTGCTTCTTGGTTAAGTCGGTGGCCAGCCTTTTCCCCCTCTGCCATCCTCTCTACTCCCCACTATCTCTTTGGTTCGTGATATCTTTCGTCGGGCTAGATTCCTGAACCACGTCTAGTCACTGCTGACGTTGTCGGGCACGTCGAAAAAGTTTATGTTTATTTTCTTGTTACGCCTACCCATTTCCTTGTCGTCATCTCTTTGTTTTTGCCTCCTCTGAGCTAGCTATTCCCATGTTGTGTGGATTTAGTGTTTTGCACTCATGACCCATCATGGCCTATGTGAAGGAACGGGCTATGTGATCTCCTGAGATGTTTGTATTTCTTCCTCCTCCTTTCCTCGGCAGAATTGATCTTCTCACTGTCAACGTATTCCCCCCTCTCATTGTCTATCTTGTTTCGGGATTGGGAAGATGGAGTGCGGAGTCCTATTCTACTTGTTCTTCTAACGGAGCCATGTCCCTTCCTAGATGACGAGACAGCCATGCGAATAAGATTATGACTCAGAAGATAGACGTGTGGTGCGAGGGTTGCGTTAGGGTCATAGATGTAGGCAACTTTTGTGTCGACAATAATGGGAACTACCAGCTCCTCTGATCGCTCATCCGTCGTTAGAGGCTGTCCTTGGCCGAGCGTGTGAGGCAACAATCCTGCGCCAAACCAGCCAACGACCTAGACTGGAAAATAAATATCCAAGCAAGGGGGAAACTGGCAACACGAAGATAAGAGTAGCAAGTACATAGCGATCGCCGATCTTCCACACAGAGCCCGTACATTACAAGGGATACAACTATCGGACTGTGCTGGCGCCTCAGCATGGCTGGTGTTTCCCTGGCGATCAGCCATGGTCATACTCCGTACCTTTATCAAGGTACGGAGTAGTAGTACTGAGATCCTTCATTCCTTGGGACTGATGTCGATGGCTGGTGGACCCTTGACTCCTGCGCAGGCAGGTTGAATTATGAATCATGAGGTGCATGAGTGGTAATCTGTGTTGATCGATATTGATATCCTAGACTGGATTACTTTGCATCTAGATAGTTTCTGAACTGTAGATACTTAGAGGATGGAGGAGGTGACCAGTCAACCACACTAGAATCCACCAGAGGCGGAGACTAAAAGTGATCCACGATCTACACGTGTGCCATTTAACAATCGACTTCGTTAACAGTCAAATCATCCCCAAGCGAATGTTCTTGTGAATGGTGAGCTTCAGAGATGGAGGATTGACACTTTTAAGGATGATGGGTTGTTCGTTGATGGAGATTTCCTTGCCTTCAGTATAAGCCTACACAACACTAGACTGGATAGGAGAGGCATATTTATAGAATGCACTAAAGCAGAGGTAGACTTTACTGACTGTAACTCAAGTCTGTGACACAAATACTCCTCTGGTCAGCCTCCCTCTGACTTCACTTCCTTACCTCCTTAATTGTTGCAGGAGTTATTCACTGTGATCCTTATGAGACATCTTTTCAGTGCCACTTCTCTTGTTCACTGCACACTTCACCGATCTGCCCCCGCTACTAAAAGGACTGGACGACCTGCGACGCCGAGCCTCCATCCTTTCATTTCCGCGACCCCAGGTTCTGCTTCGTTTCAGCCCTCAATTCTCTGAGTTCTACCAAGAAGAGCCCTTCCAATTCCTCTGATTCAAGCCTCGATAATGTCAACCACCACAACCACCACTCTTACGGCTACAACGCTTGTGGGGATGCTTCCGACCATGACAAGCGCTACCCCGATCACCTCAGGGAAGAATTGTCCAACATGCGGACAGGATGGGTACATGTCGCAGGATCAATTGGTCCAGAGCGCTCGGAAGAGGGTGAAGGAGTTGGAGGGTCAGGTCGAGCTGTTGAACGCCCACGCTACACAAATGGGTAAGCATGTGGTTATGACCGAGGCCTGACAGACGTTGCTAATATGGGTTACGTCTACAGCTGCAAAACTAGCCGAGTACGAGAAAGAAGTGCGCCGTCTCCAAGCCCAAACCAACACGCACACCCCCAGGACGGGCTCCGCGTCATCCACATCGTCCGCCCCCTCGAATGAGAGCGATCAATCCCTGTCGCCGACACAACCCCGGTCCTCGCCGCCGCAACAAGGTCGCTTGTCGACGCTGACGTCGCTACTCCCTTACCGTCGACCTAGCACCGCGTCTCCCACGCAGACCATTGCCGAGCCAGCACAACCCACCCCTTCTCCCGATCATGCTACGACAGAGCTTCAGAATGCGCTCGAGCGAGAACAGAGCTTACGCAAGGCGGCAGAGAGCCAGCTCTCCCAGGCCAGTTCGGAGCTGGAGGAACTGACGGCGCAACTGTTCAGTCAAGCGAATGAGATGGTTGCGCAAGAGCGCAAGGCGCGGGCGAAATTGGAAGAGAGGGTGGCGGTGCTTGAACGCCGGGATGTCGAGAAGAGGAAACGTCTTGACCGACTGGAAAAGGCGATGGAGAGGGTGGAGCGGCTTCGAGCATTGGTCGGATAGTCCTCATGATGTATAGAGGACGTCGACTTGTAGTCGCCCTCTGTCTTTTGACTTTTTTTGCTTTGCGTTGGAACTTGGATCTATTATACCCCTGTTTTGGTTCCGGCGGACGACTCCTGCTTTGGATTGTTTTTGACACGATATGGCCTCATGAATGGGGCCATGGGCTTTGAGCCCATGAGGACGGGACCACGACCAGCATTGTTATGACACGAAGGCGTTTTGGAGAATGTTTAGCTATAGCTGATGCTTCAGCAATGATCACTACATGCTAGGACGCTGTGGAGATAGCGCAATATGACATTAATGACCTCATCTCCTTACAAGATTTCCAGTGACTCATTAAGATATCAAGGTTTACTTTGGCCACGCAACAGTCCGTGTTGCTAAGGGTTTAGGCTAAACGCTGTATGGCTTCACCGGGTTGTTCCCACTCTCCACCCCGCCCAGCGCAGGGTCTGGCAGTTGGGCGCCAATGAAATGGCGCCCCCGAAAGCATGGCAGCTAATGCTGGATAACCGGATTTCTAATCTCATTTCAAGTATATGTAAAAGTCGTGCATCTGATCAGCAGCAGTCCCAATTGTCAATAAACATCTAGGTATCTATTGCATTCGAAACCACCGCCATGTCTGTCGGAGTGGCCATCATTGGAAGTGGTATGTCCCACATCTATACAACGATGACCTGCGATCCCGTTAAACCGAAGCTGATGAAAATCTACAGGCATCTTCGCTCGCGAGGAGCATCTGGTACGCCATCCCGCTTTATCAACCTGAATCTGAGTATCCCTGACATCAACCATGCACCTTCTAGCCCGCAATCCAAGCAGCAAAGGACTTCCAGCTGAAAGCCATCTACTCCCGATCCCTCAAGTCAGCCCAGGATCTCGCGAATGGGACTACCGGCGTTGATCTCTACTCCGAGGACTCTGGCTCCGGAAAGGGATACGCCGATTTGCTTGCCCGCGAGGACATCGCGGCGGTCGTCATCGCGTGCGTCTGACTCTCTACCCCCTCCAGCAATCAAGACTCACAGGCTAATCCGGGCAGCCTCCCCATCCTGGTCCAGCCTGATTTCATCCGCAAGGCCCTGACCGCAGGGAAGCACGTCCTGTCCGAGAAACCGATTGCCAAGGACATCGCCACGGCGCGGGACCTGCTGCAGTGGTACCGAGCCACCATCGACACCAGCAAGACCCTCTGGGCCGTCGCAGAGAACTTCCGGTACATGACCAAGTTCCTTCGCGCGGCGGAGGAGGTGCAGAAGCTGGGGCGGGTGAAGAATTTCCGGGTGAATGCCCACAACCTGATCTCGACGGACTCGAAGTATTTTAGTACGTTACCGGATTACGTGGCTATCTCTAATGCATCTGGTCCATGATTCTAACGAAGCAGAAACTGAATGGCGCCAAACGCCGGGGTACCAGGGCGGATTCATCCTCGACGGTGGTGTCCATATGGTAGCAGCTCTACGACTGATGCTCGGGTCGCGGGACCCCGTCGCTACGATATCCGCACAGTCCTGTCTCCAGCAACAGCATCTCGCTCCGCTCGACACGGTGGACGCGGTGATGAAGACCAGATCGGGCGCTACGGGTGTGCTGTCCTTGTCGTACGGATCGGAGTTTAATGACTCTATCTTTGAGTTTGACTGTGAGGGAGGCGTGGTCGCCTTGAACTTTGACCAGCTGACAGTCAAGGGGGAGAGCACTGAGCTCCCTTTTGACGGACGAGGTGTTAGCCGGGAGGTCGCCGTGTTTGCTGCGACGATTGCCAGCGGTGGTTCGGTCGACAAGCGACAGAGTCCGGAAGAGGCGTTGGCTGATTTGGAGATTATGGAGAAGATGTTGACTAGTGGTGAGAGAGACGGAGAGAGACAGAGCGTGGAATTACAAGTGTAGATACAGACACAGCTACTTGAACATGAACATGATATCGTAACTTCCATTCAATTTGATACGTATAGAACTGCTCTTAAGTAAGCGGTCTTGGCGCAGGGCTAGCCGCCAAAGCCCTAAACCACCCGTTCTCGCTTAGCGATCCACTAGCGTCCCCGCTGCACTCAGACTTGCTCGCTCGGGCGGCCAAACCTCAGCGCGAATTTTTGAGATTGAACTCGAATCGTCACGACAACTCTCGAGCGCCAGCCAGCGAGACCCAACGATACCGACAAGGTATGTCTGTCGATTGAATATTATCTGTATCTTTTGATGCGGGTTGAGATTGTACTGACTGGTTCAAGATGGTCCTCGCAAAGAAGCACGTCCCCATCGTCAAGAAGCGTATGTTCCAGCTCCCTCTGCCAGCCTATTCCCTGCCTCAAGCACACGCACAAAATTTGGTTCTGGGGGGATACAAAGAAGTGGATGTTTCGGATAGCGATTGAAGAGATGGGTCAGAGAAGAGATGGAATCAGCGACCGAATCAGCACAGTTGAATTTGCACACACGAGATATCCGTGGAGGACTGACATTCGGACGTGAACAGGCACCAAGCGCTTCTTCCGCCACCAGTCCGACCGCTTCAAGTGCGTGCCGGAGTCATGGCGCAAGCCCAAGGGTATCGACAACCGCGTCCGCAGACGCTTCAAGGGCAACATCCCCATGCCTTCCGTACGTTCCGCCCGACTCTGAACCCGACCCGCATCAGATCGATCAACCGACGTGACGTGGTCTACCTCTACGAACTGCAAATGCTGATGAATCTCGCTGGACTAGATCGGTTACGGCAGCAACAAGAAGACCAAGCACATGATGCCCTCCGGCCACAAGGCTTTCCTCGTCCACAACCCCAAGGACGTCGAGCTGCTGCTCATGCACAACCGCACCTACGCCGCTGAGTACGTTGCGTCCGCAGCCGAGCCTCCATACAAGCCCATACTGATGATAACAGGATCGCCTCCGCCGTCTCCTCCCGCAAGCGCGTCGACATCGTCGCCAAGGCCAAGGCGCTCGGCGTCAAGGTCACCAACCCCAAGGGCCGTGTCACCGTTGAGGCGTAAGCGTTGGAGCAGGAATGACGAAGTAATAGAAAGAAGAAAAAATTTGACCCCTAACCTCTTACAAATATACCATGAAGGGGGGCCGGATGGTGGACGTCCTTTTTATTTTCCTCCTCTTTCCTCATTTCCTCGTGTCCTCTGGCGGGTGCGGAAAAGGGTGTCGATTGTCGGTTCCATGTATGGTCGTGAAATCCTCATGGCAATGACGAATCTCAAGATTATGTGCATGCTTTTGTGTAGTGGCCGTCTTATTGGAGAGTACGAAGCTAGGGAAGCCGGTGTAGATTTTGAGGCCATGTAGTAGATCTCCAGTCGGTATCTACAGTTGTGCGTAGTTTCGTACATATTGTCAATGTGCATGGTGAACCCGTATATCATTAATGCGTCCTTTTAGCTAGAAACTCGCCATCTATGTATCATGCAAGATAAATGTAAATGCAAGTTCATACAAGTTCATACCGCCGCTTCCTGCTCCTGGAAGTCCTGCTGCCGAGCCGCAGAAATATCCACAAGCCCGACCCCCCTCAGCAGCACCCTCTCCTCAGAACCCTCGACAACCATCCCCTCCGGGATCGGCGTCTGGCCGATGACGACCTCCTCCTCCTCCGGGACAGGCACCCAGTCCGGCGCTTCACGCGGCCCATCCAACCCCTTGGGCGGCATGGCCCACGAGGGCATCTTGCTGCGATACTTCCACTGGCCCTCCAGATCGGAGTAGGCGACCGCATGCAGGAAGATGCCCAGCTCGTGGACCCCCGGGTCGGTGTAGAGCTCCGTGCCGCAGACGTCGCATACGGCGCCGGAGAGGCGCTCGCCCTTGCGCTTGTGGTAGTCGTGCACGGCGGCCTCGTGCTCGCGCGACATGATCTCCTCCACGACGGACGGGTGCGTGCCCGGCGGCACGGCCGGCACGGTCGTCAGGTGCGTGCGGTAGCTGGTGGATGATGATGATGATGATGATGTTGTGTCGGCGACCTCCGTCTTGCCCATCTGCGAGAGCCGGTCGATGATCTCGCTGTCGCGCTCGGCGGTGGCCTCGTGCTTGCCGAGGTCGGGCCCGAAGACGCGGCGGTTGGAGTAGATGGGGTCGTTGGTGATCGGGTGGCCGAGGAACTGCAGGTGCACGCGGATCTGGTGCGTGCGCCCCGTCAGCGGGAGGCAGTGCACGATGCTGTAGCCCTCGGCTTCGTTGGCCAGGAGCGGCGGCGGCGTGGCGGGCCGGTCGCCGCTCGCGGTCACCTCGTGCGCGTCTGGTTCCGGGGCCGGCGAGGCGGGCGGGTAGTATGCCAGCCGGCGGAACTTGGTCTTTGCGTCTTTGCCGGTGGCGCGCACGCGGTTGAGCCCGAGTTTGGGACTGACCGACATGATGGGCTGGTCGCAGACCACCACGCCGTCCGGGAAGCGGCCCTTGACGCGCGCGATGTACTCCTTCTGCACGGTGCGCTGCTTCAGCTTGATGGTGATGGCGTCCGCGGCCTTGGGGTGCTTCGCGATGAACATCACCCCGGACGTCAGGCGGTCCAGCCGGTTGCAGGGCCGCGGGACGAAGTCCCGCCCGCGCTGCGAGCGCAGGATCTCGACGATGGATTGGTAGTGGTACCGGCCGGCGGCGTGGACGGGGACGCCCGCGGGCTTGTCGATCACAAGGATATCATCGTCCTCGTGGATGATTCCAATCTCGTGGCCGGTGACGGGGGGTTCGTGGCGGTGGAGGGTATGCGAGATGATTTCGCCGTTCTTGATGACGGTGTTGGGGGCCGCGGTCTTGCCGTTGACGGTGACCTTGCCATCCGCCAGGGCTTGTACCTAACATATGTGTTAGTCACGGCGTTCAATCACAGTCCTCGAAGACCCACGTAGTACTCGGGCGGCCGATCTCTGAACTCGGACGTGAAAATGTCCTGCAGCTCTCGACCCCGCCATCGCTCCTTGCAATAGGTGTTGTATGTGTAGTAGTAGGGCTTGACCCTGCGCAACCCGCCCTCAAAGTAGTACGGAATCGGCCATGGATCGCATGGAGTGACGGCGACTTTCGGGGGCTCTTCGACGGGGTCCGGAGGAGGGACTTGGAGGGTGGTGTCGACGGGGACGACAGCCATGCTGGACGCAGGGATCCTGGCTCGTCGCAGCAGATACGCAGTAATGCGAGGAGATGGAGCCAGAGGTCAAGTTGTTCAACGGTGCTGGAAGCAATGGTATACGTTTGTGTACTGGTGAAGGCAAAAAAATAGCCACCAAAAAAAGGGAAAAAAAAATAAATTAGTGTTGCGGGGAATATCAGATCGCTACAGAGAGTGCATAGTAGATATATAACCCGGATACAATCAAGATATCTAAATTGTCTATATACCGCCGGATCTCGATATATTTAAATACTCATATTCAATTCAATATCCAATATAATAGCTATCAATCATAATCGTTGCCCTTGATCTCATTCCCCGCCTCAGGCACAACTGCATAACCTTATCCCGATTACTAATACTGCATGAATTCTTCATAGTGACGACCAATCACAATGTGCGGCATTTCAACCTCGGCTCGCTGGTGCCTGAGGTCTCCGAGGCGTGGCATCGACATCAGATAAACACAGCATCACAATTCTATAACAAGCCTAGAATTACTCTGCATATAGAATTGCACTGTAGTGCATTTGTCCTGGATATTTATTTCCGAGACCACCTGACGAAACAACTATCAGCAGCAGCAGCAGCAGCAGCAGTTATATCCATAAACTACACCCGCATACTGCCATCCCTCCTATATATAACCTGCCTCGCACCACAAACACAATGTCCTTCAAAGAGGACCTCAGCGCCAAAAAGCGCCGCAAGCGAAGCGACTACGTCTTCCACCAGGAATACCGCACCCGATGGCAAGCCCCTCACCAATTACCACAGATCAACGCTCTGACAGACACAGGTTCGACAACGACATGTACGCCCACCTCAACAACACCGTCTACGCCATGCTCTTCGACTCGATCGTCAACAGCTGGCTCATCGCCGAGTGCGGCATGGATCCGTTCAGCATGAACAAGACCGCCAGCACCGCCAGTGACATCTCGCAGCAGGTCGGGATCATGGTCAACTCGTACTGCGACTATTTCTCCTCGGTCTCGTACCCGGATGTGCTGGATGTGGGGCTGCGGGTTGTGAAGCTGGGTTCGTCGAGTGTGACGTATGAGGTTGGGGTGTTTAGGCGCGGGGAGGAGGATGTCAAGGTTGTTGGCGGGTATACGCATGTGTTTTGTGCGCGGGAGACGATGAGGCCGGCGAGGGGGGGGATGGAGGAGAGGGTGAGACGGGGGTTGGAGAGGTTGGTTGGTAGAGATGGGGCGAAGTTGTGATTCATCTATTCAACATCACGGTCGTGGTGTGGTGAGCTTGTGGTGCAGGTATCACAGGCTGAACTGAAGCCGCTTGATCTTGGGTTCGATCAACTTATTCAGCTCAGGGGTTATATTGATATGCCAACTATGCCTACTTTTGCGAGTGCCTGATGGGTAGACTCTGCCTCCGTGCTATACCTTCAGGCAAACAGCCATGGTGTCTTATGGTGTATATGAATGCTGAACTGCTGACGGAATGATAGCTAAACAGACTCATCTCTTCCCTGAGCAGGAGCAGATGCGCCATTTGACCTTCCTTTCAGCTCCTGCTAGTGTGCCCTAGTATCTGGAAATTTCTGACCTTTGCTGTCTTATGTGGCTGGCTGAGGACAGAGACACGGGTCTCTCTGCTTGTGGTATGTCATGGAAACATCGATCGACATGGCTGTCCTAATTAGAGTACTCCGTGCAGAGAGACTGAAGATAGCGACGGTGGTAGATGTGATAGATCATCTGTTGACTGCAGGATTGTGTTACAAATAGCAGGCCGTAGCAATCAACGCCAACCCATTAGTAAAAGCGAAAAAAAAGAAGAAAAAGAAAATTCCCAATACAACGCTATTTTATAGGTCTGAAGCAACTAGAAGTAAAAAGTCTATCCCTTTCTAAACCCAAACCCGAACGCCATCGCTAAATCGAACAATTGCCGATGTACACTTTCGTCCCGATCATTGTATCGGCAAGTTCATTTGCGATGGAAAGAATAAGAGACATATGAAATAAACAGACACCCGCTCGAACGCTGTTCGCGACAATTCATGAGAGATAGGGTAGTTGTCGGAAGAAAGAGGTGGAGTGAGTTGAAGTGCCACGGTGCTGAAAAGAGTCATGGGATGGTGTAACTCAAGATGCATCTGGCTAATCCAACTTGGTTGGAACTATGCTGCTGCACCGAGAGACGTTGGAGCTTTCCGGAGACGGGACGCGCTGCATCGTCTTGGTCCCATGGTCGTAGCGCCACTTTTGATACGGACCAGGAATGAACTTTCCTTTGGCGTCCCATCCCGCAACCCAGGTGTAGCCATCGTCAAGAAGGAAGAAGAGCAGTTTTTCCGGCTTCGCGCCCTCGTGCAGAGTCACTGACTGCCAGCGACATCTGTCTTCCATTTCGTGCTCGAAGATGTATCGATGGAGGATGCGGCAGTAGACAAGCGGAACAGGGGCCTTCTCCTCGTCTTCGCTGCCGTCCTTGTGGACGAGATGCCACCCCAGACCGGGGATGTATTTGTAGATGCCAGGAACAGGGCTTTCCCAATGTTCCTCTTTGTGAATAGATCCCTGGATGCGCTCGCCGCGTTGGAACCAGTAAGTCGGGCAGAAGACAGCGCGAAGGCAGATGAAGAGATTCGGGGCCATGATAATTAGATATTGAGTGAGGACAGGTCAAAGAGTAGAATTCAAAGGAAGCGCTCAATTGCAGAACTTTTTCGATGCGAGAGATGAGATAGGGAAAAAGGCGTTTTCATAAGTCGATATCCATCGTGACAGGCGTACTCCGAAAGGCTTCGTAGTTGTTGGTGAGAAGATGAACAAGGATAGACGGTGATGCTGTCACTTGCGCAACCACCAATGTGTAAGGATTAAACTTCCTGCTGATTGAGAATGCGAGTGGGATTCGTTGGGGATTTCGATCGCTTGTTACTTGCCTGCTTCTGGGAGCAGGATCAGGAGCAACGACAACGCGCTGCAATGATGCGGTGTGTATCAAAGAGCCCAGAAGACGTGAAAACTGACGGAGCTCGAGTTTCCTGGAAATAACCTGGACAGGAACACAATGATAGTCTGATGGAAGGCAGGGAGGAAGCCGATCGAAAGACGAATGTGATCAAGAGCAGTGCAGCAGTCACCCTGTGTTACAGCTCGTCAAGAGCGCATGGGTGGAATCTCGACTCTGACTGGACGATAAAGAGGAAAGACATTATGCAGGATGGGAAATTGAGGAATTATAATGAGGATGTTAAGATGAAGGCGAGGTTAAATTCCAACAGGAGAGAGAGAGATGATGATCGGGTATTTCGAGGCGGTCTGAGGTCAGCCCACGACAGCGAAAATTTTGATAGTCAGGATCACTGAGGTCCTAGACAGGCACTAGACGGACTAGACCTCCTCCATGAACGGATCCGTCTACGGAGAACTGAGGATAGGCCCATAATCCCCATAATTCCAGCGAGTCCATCCAACAAAAGCGAGAGCTGCAAAGGGGAGACTCTGCGCGGCGGGAAAGCCGCGACCCACCGGTCCACAGAAGTATTTATATCGCGCATTTTTTCTTTCTTTTTTCCTCATACAGAGTAGGTTCAACTCTATAGCACACTCATCATCATAGTGAGTCAATTCAGCTGGACTTTTACCGTTAAGACCAGCTGTGCCTTGGCACCTGGAGACCAAAGTCGGGACCGAAGTGTACGACATGACCTCAACTGGCAGCATCAAACAGTCAAACACCTGGTAGTCTCGCTAGTTCTCCGGGAATTCGGGAACGCGCTTTTTGCTTTTTCCTTCCGTAATCCTGGGTTGTGCTTGATGACCTGAGAATCTTCCTGCACGCTCATGGAAATAGCCGTCGGCAGTGGCACCAGTAGCAGTAGATTAGACGCCAAAGAAGGACCGTGTCGGGAAATGTTGTAACTCGTAAAGCAGCTCTCACCACCTTGCACCTTGAAGAAGAGATGATCGGTAGTTAAGCCATCTTGGCAAAGGCTGGGCATCCGCTGTGGCTCGAATCACCTAGCGTTGCATTATCAATTGCTATCCACTTCTATACAAGAATGTTGATGCCTGGTTACGCAGTTTCTGTCTTGCACGGAAGCACCTTCAAGCAGGGTCTTCTTGTTGTAGTCATTCTTCTAGACGGTCCCGGATGGTCATCTCTACGAGTAACTCTTAGCTAAGAAGCTGGTGTAAGCCCATGAAATGCTCAAATCCTGGCAAGACTGATCAATTCGCACTAATAGTGTTGAATCTGAAAGAGGACATAGAACTCGCCTCCACCTCTGGGGCTTGGAAGCACTGTATCAAATCAAAACCGGCGTGTTTCAGGTCTGGCCATCCTGGACGATCATCGACGGTCCTTGATGTACTTGATGTACTTGAAGCCTTGAAACCCTTGAAGATTTAGAGCTCGTCACCATTCCAGGAACAAACATGGCCGCGTTGACGGTGTCAAATCCGGCTTGGACAAGCGATTTTCATCCCTCGGAGATGGTTATCGGAGGGCTGTCCACGAAGCTATCCACGAACGTATCCGGATCAACCCTGCCTCCCGCTGAGTGCATAGAACTGCCTGGCGTGTTCCAGGTAATAGACAGCGTCAACCCGCGTAGGAACAATGCAAAATCTCCTTCTCAAGAGCTGATCTGCCCTTCTTATAGAGTTCCTGGATCATGGTGTGATGAGGCATAGTGCAATAAGAATAGATAGATAGATAGCAATTACCAGTATGTGTAAAGATAGTGGGATATATCATATAATAACAGAGCTATTCCGTTCAATGCATTTCGCCGCGTCGGTAGCTACCCAGCTGCTGAACGACTTCCCGTCCGTCCGGTTCAGTCTCCTCGTCGGCATCGGCGGCGGGGTTCCGGATCTGGACCAGGGCGTCGATATCCGGCTTGGGGATGTGGTGGTTAGTAGACCGGCGGGGAGATATGGCGGGGTGGTGCAGTTTGATCGGGGCAAGGCGCTTGCGAGTGGGCGATTCGAGCGGACGGGGGCGCTGCAGCGGCCGCCGGATGTGCTGCTGGGTACGGTTGCCAGGCTGGAGGCGCTCCATCGGAGGGTGGATAGTGAGGTCCCGAGGTATCTGCGGGAGATGATCGAAAGGTATCCGAAGATGAAAGAGGGGAAGTATACCTACCAAGGAGCGGAGAATGATCGGCTCTTCCGGGCGGAGTCCGAACATGCGGGTGGAAAGGACTGCCATGGCTGCGATCCGGGGGAGATTGTTGAGCGTGAGCGCCGGCCCCATCCCAGCCCGGTGGTGCATTACGGGACGATCGGATCGTCGAATGCTGTGGTCAAGGACGGCCGGTTGAGAGATATGATCAGAGATGAGCTGGATGTCCAGTGTGTGGAGATGGAGGCTGCCGGGTTGATGGAGTCGTTCCCGTGTCTGGTTATACGGGGCATCTGCGATTACGCGGATTCGCATAAGAACAAAAGATGGCAGCCTTATGCTGCTGCGACGGCGGCTGCGTATGCAAAGGAGTTGCTGTCTTTCATTCCACCGTTGGAAAGGATGCCACGGGCCAGGGCGGAAAACATCCATGCTCCGCCGCGAGGCTATACCAGGATACTCGTGGGAAATGCCGGGAATGTCATCAATGGGCCTGTGTCTGGGGATGTTGTCGCTGGAGACAAAGTCAATGGGGACAAGATACTGTGGGGTGAAAGGTGGTAATCATCAAGAAAGGAGATTATTGAGAGTCTTAATGAATGTTGCACACTATCTACAGGCTCAGCCAGCGTCGATCACCGTGCCACAATCGGCCTCAAACTGTCTCACTATGGGTTTGCAACAGCTGATAAAAATGGCCTTTACAGTGGTGGAGATCCGACGTGCCTGTAACTCATTGAATAAACTCGCGAATTGACCTGACCATCCATACTCCTTTGCCCGGTCCGCAAAAGCCTCCGTCTCGATCACCAGGTAGACTTGCTTAATACCTCCTAGGACCGATCCCAATACGCTGAACCAGTCTTCTGGAGTCGATGCATCCCGAATCCTCCTCGCGGTTAGCGAAGCGCTGCGTTCGTTGACCGTCGCTGGAGTTTGCTGCAGGATCTGCGAGACAAGCTGTTTCAAAATATCCAGGGTATCATACGCATGTGGTGGCTGACTCTTGGCCTGAAGGACCCAAGCAACAATAGCCTTCTCTTTTTGGAGCAGACCTATCATGCCTGCAGCAAAGTCTCTGAGCGGAGGACGAGTAGGAAAGGAGCCTTTGACAAGGAGTAGAGAGGAGTGAGACTCTGCTACCCGGTCCTGGAGTCGCCGAGATTGTCGCAGAGAACAAGTTGTATGGCCTTCCTTCCGGCGTCGAATCTTGCGCATTAGGGCATAGTAGTGGAGGGTCGCTTCCGGATCAGCCAGGGTCGGCATGGCTAGAAGTGGGAGTATATCGGAAAGATTGATCCCAGGACCTCCTTTGCTCGTGTCGAACGTGGCAGTGTAGCGTAACGTGTGGAATTCTGCTTGATATCAAATGAATCAACGGGCCGGACACTCAGTTAGTCGAAGCACCCACCTTCGAGGGCGCGTCTCGTTTCCGGTATCCCGACAATGGTGTGTGATGGCTTCGAACGGTTTTCCTCAAGCTCAGCAAGAATCATGCTCGCGACCAGTTGACAAATTCCTTGAAGATCGTCCGAGATACCGCCGTCCGGGTTCTTTACTCCGAGCTGTGTTAGAATCGCGGGATCGAATATGAGATTGCGCATTTCAATCGTGATCTGTCAGATGCTGGGGCATTAGATGATGACGGTGAACCTATTTTCAATGAAAGATCTCGAGAAATTTACCTTGTTGCCCGCAACTTGATCGCCTCCGAATTTGCTTCCTCCAATTTGATCTCCCGCGACATTTCCGTTGACCAGATTTCGAACATCGTGGGCATGGATTGCCATGGGATAGAAGGAGGAGGGGAGGGGAGATTTTGATTGAGCACCTGCACTGACAGCTACCTTGGGTGTGTTCAGCTGGCGAGCGTCCTTTCGTTAGTTAGGTAGCTGCAGTGAGCCTGATCAGACAGCCTTGCCTCTCCTCTTTCAGCCTGATCCCAGTCCCCTCAAACCGGGATAAAATGTCATATACAAACACTAAAACACACCTAACCTCAATGACGAAGCCGGCAGAGTCCTAAACTCACTAAAGAAGCAGTTCAATGCTTGTAAAGGCACACAGGCATTCCTTGGTGTGTGATAGGTGATCAATCGCGGTCATGGACGACTTAACATGACCAATGAGGGGATATAGCCTTGCGCTGTGGCTGTCTCCTTTTCCTACGAGATCGCCAGCCAGGCGCTTACTGAAAACAGTCCTTCCGGCTGAGGACAAACCTTCACTGAGGCTGGAGAAAGAATACCCAGACTGTCAAGAAGAAGCAATAGGAGGATCATCAGAGTACGACCAAGAAAGCGAAGATCATGTATCTGTGCTTCAATTCCTGTTTCGTAGTTGATGCTCCCTGAACCAGGTCATGGTCTCACTGACGGGTACGCTGGGATAGGCAGATGCCATTGACAAAAAATCTTTTTGTGCTTGGAGAGCTTCAGAAGGGTTGATACTGTTGAATGTGCCTGGGATTGTGAACTGATCGAGATATCTTGTCACCACTCTAGAACAACCTATCTATGTACGGAAAGCATCATCCCCCCCAGAATAACCCGTTCGAGCATCTCCCTCTCCGGATCCTGCGCCACCATGCCCCGGAAACAGCCATCCCCACGCAGCAGCAGCAGCTCGCGCGGGCTCCCCGACTCCACGATCCGCCCACTCTCCAGAACCAGCAGCGTGTCCGCATCCGTGACCGTCCTCAGCCGGTGCGCAATAACCAGCAGTGTTGTCTGGCGCTGGCCCAGGGCGGAGCGCAGGCTGCGTTGGATGAGGGCGTCTGTGGCCTTGTCCCACCGAGGCCGTTGCCTCGTCCAGAATCATAACCTTGGGCTGCGGGATGATGGCCCGCGCTAGGCAGAGAAGTCCGACGGTTGCGCCAACTGAGCCCTCCACCCCGGCGAGTACGACCAAGGTGGTATTCGGATCGTCTGCAATGAGGTTTGCATGGACTCGGACAGAGAGCGGCGCTCAGTCCAGCTCTCCAGGAGATGGCGAAGCAAGATTTAGCCGAAGGACAGGCTGCAAGCGCCGTGCATTGGAGCAGGAGACAGACCTGATGATAGGCATTAGTGTTGCTATTCGATCCATGCATGTACATATCTTTATGTGAGAGGCTTGTGGCACACCTCGATGCACTCATGCAGGAAACTCATACCCAGATTCCGACCCCCGCCCAACACACCAAGTTCGCTCGATTGGCCAAAGGACGGGCTACCATGCCTGTTTGCAAGCCCGAAACAGCCGTTCCCACGAGCACCAGGGCTAAGATCACCATGCGAAGAGGCCGCTGTGCGGTCTGCTGGGACACGTCGGGGGCCGCCTCCCCATCTCGGTCCTTATAGCCATGAGAGAGGGGTCGATGATCGGTTGTTATCAATCGAACGGCCCAGTAGCTGATATTTTGCAGGGTATACAGACTCAGGATGGGGGCCAGCAGAAGCCCAATGCTTCCCGCAATGAGGGAGAGCTGGTCCATGTTGGCTGTCCTTTTGCACCCAGAAATGCATCTTGTCCAAGGTAATTCTTTCCGTAGGGCTCTTGAATAACGAGTCGATTTGTAGAAGTAGGAAGAGAACAGCAGGCCGGCCCCTTGATAGCAGTCCACTGCTTTCCGACAATGGTTTCCAGCATTTTCAAGATGTCCAACATAGGTGAAGAATAGGAGAACAAGGTCACACTCCCTATGCAATACTAATGCACAGAGCTGTCAGAGCATATCCTCATTCGAGCTTGGTCCTCTCACCTGTTCCTTTGGCCCCTCTGATCCGCTTCCATCCTCGATACCAATTCCCGACGTCCCGGAGCGGGCCAGCAAGTATGACGAAAAGAGACAGTACCCTGGTGCGGCCGACTGAAAATCCCAGCAATCCTGGCGTCAGTCGGACCAGGTTAGGGCATCACTGGGGACTGGGGAGTCTAGCGTAGCACCAGCATGAACTCCTGGCCCGGATATCACCGGCATTCTCAATGGCTTAGGCTAGTCATGCATGGGACGCAGTATCCAGCACCTCTTGACCCCACCGGCAAGGATGCCACAGATGCTGGGTCTGCAGCTACAGTAAATGGAGCCGTGGCCGACGACCTGTGACGAGTCAGATCGACGGGGCATGGAGATTACCAATGGGCGATTATTCTCAATCTCAGCTCCGCCGAGGATAAAAAGCAAAGAGGGATTTAAGCCCATAATTCCATTCTCCGTACTAGTTGAAAAGACTGCTTACTGCTCTTACTGCAGTGTTGCATCTACTTTTGAATCTTCATACAATGAAGTATCCAGCTCCTGACCGGCTACAGCAAGTCCATCTTGGAATCGCCCCCAAGGGCTTCGCACCCGTAACTTCCTACCAGGGAGGAAAAGACCTGTGCGAGCAAGAGCATGAGACACTGCAAGCCAGCCTCCTACGATTGTGTCCCTCTCGTCTCTGGTACCATGGCTCCCACGGTGCCTCTTGCCCTCGGCCTATTCTGATCACACCGGAGCACCAGGAACAGCTGTTCACCCTCCACACTGCTCTAGCGGCTGCCATCACCGACATTGTTGAGCGTTGGTGGACCGACTCCGAGGCGAGATTTCCAGATCGTATGCCTCTGGGGAGAGGGGAGGAAGAATTGCTACGTGTTTGTATCCCGACTCCCTCCTGCGGACTCTTGGCCAGGTCTCCGCTGACGGATTTAGGACAGTGGCTCGAGACTCAAGGCCTCCCCTACCGCGATCATCTGGGCTCATGGAGACCGGATTTTCTGGTTGAAGAGGGTGCAAGGGTAGAGAAGTTTCGCATCACCGAGATCAATGCCCGGTTCTCCTTCAATGGATTCATGCACCAGGCCTACGGGCAAACGGCGCTGGATGCTCTCGGTGTGGGGAGACATGGGATCACGCACGCGACGGACTCGGCAGAGGTAAGCTGCTCGTTTCATATGCCCTTCTGTTGCTGAGTTGGATAGATCCTCGAAGGCCTGCTTGGCCTCTTTCGGCCCGAGCTTCCATTGCATCTGCTCAAGGGCGTGGAGCCCGGAATCGACATCCACATGTTCATTGATTTCGTCCATCGGCATCTGGGCGCCCGGCCACGGCTCATCACCCCCGCAGATCTGAGGCTGCTGCCCGATCCGGAGCTCGAGAATGGGTACCGGCTCTGCTGCTTGACGAAAGCTGCGGGCACAGCGGGCCTGCCCTCATCCCCTGGCTTCGTCACCAGCGAAGGAGAGGTCGTGGAGGAAATACATCAGGTCGGGCTCGAGCTCCACCAGCACGAGCTGTTCGCCCTGCAGCCGGAATTGCTCCGTCAGATTAGCACCCGGTGCTTCAACGACATGCGAACCATCCTCCTCGCCCACGACAAGCGCATGCTGGGCATCGTGCAGCAGGAGGCTCCATCGTTGGTGGCGAGGGGAGTCCTGACCCCCGCAGAAGGCGAAGCTCTCAAAAAGGGCATCGCCGACACCATTCTCCCCGGATCCCAGGAGCTGAACGAGCTGATCCAGCTGTGTGCGGACGACGAGCAGCGGCGCAAAGAGTACCTTCTCAAGCCGATACGGGGTGGCAAAGGTGCTGGGATCATATTCGGGGATGAGATGAGCGCCAGTGAGTGGAGGGCCACCTTGGAGCGCCTACACGACCCCGCCATTATCCCCGGCGTCACCAGTTATGTGGTCCAGCGGTGTGTGATTCCCATCTTGTACGAGGTTATCCTGAATTCGTCCGGGAATCACGGTCGATACCCGCTCATTGGGACTTACCATGCGGCGCAAGGCCGGTTTTTGGGTCTTGGGACCTGGCGAAGCAGCCCGGATCGGATCTGTGCGGTCAGTAATGGAGGGTCATGGATTTGTTCTGTCATGAAGCAGTAGTATGCTTACATACTGCTTTTTTTTACCCCCTTGCTTAACTACTGCATTGTCCTGCCCATTCTTAGGATGTAGTGCCGAATGAACCCCTTTCTGTAGACTGCCTTTATTGCATGGTATTCCTTCGCTAGCTCCCATCTAGGACATTACGCCCACTCGTTTCCATAATGAAGTATGACAGCTGATTGGACAAGTTGTTCGGCATGGTGGTCAGCTCATTAACAGGGGCGTGCGTATAGCGCTGAATGCAGAGTAGCTCTTATTGCAGAAGCAGATTCCATTATGTAATGGACGCGAGTAGATGAGTAAGTAATTACCTTGCAGAATACCAGAAATGATCCATCAACTCTTTACAATGTTGCATTCATCAGGTGGCGTGAGTATTTGTCAGATCCAAGACCAACTAGTCGTCCTGCAGCCAGGCTTTAGTGACTAGCACTCATGAGGGATCTGCATGAACGGGACTAACCTTAAGATTGGCTCTAGAAAAGTCAATCATATCTAGGGCCAGGGCTTACCGATCGGCAATGCAGCTTGCGCAGATGTTACTCTGATGGTTCCACGGAGATCAGCCACAATTTCAACTCGGAAAGAGGAAAGTGTGACAGGAACTTGCAGAATTGCATGAGCCACTACTGCAGCAGAAACCGCATAGTTTTTGAGTAAGGGCATCCTTTGAATGGACTTTGCTGTCATGCTTGCCCATCGGCCATCGGCTGGGATATAAAGAGCCTGTATTGGGGAAGCCGGGCAGAATGAGAGTGGGAGAGACTGGTTGAATTAGAGATAAGGGATTGTTCTTTTTTTCATTACCATTACCGGTAAAGCCAAATCGTCTACCATGCAACACGTTTTCGGGCATCGTGTCTCCACGGCTGCTTTGTACAGCAGATGCCGTATATACGGGAGTCTGGCGAGAGATCCTGTCTGTGCTCGCTACGAGTGCCGTGGATTGGCGACAGCGCCGGCAGCAGCAGTCAAAGAAACCCCGAATCTTGTTCAGACGGTGGCTCATCTCATCGCTAAAGATATGAGTGACGCCGAGCAGTTGCGGCACGTCCGCGCAGTGAGGGACCGGCTCGAGCACGACGGGATCCTCAAGATCAGCCTACGCTTCGCCGACGACACCAGCCAGTATCTCAAAAACCTGGTGCTCAGTCTCCACAGACACCACGGCCACGGCCTCCCCATCACCCACAGCGCCTCGCAAGGCTGGTTCTGGGACGTGAAGCCGAGCCGCTCTGGCACAACCTTCCAGACCCAGAACCACCAGGCGCGCTCGGAAACCATGGCCAGCTTCCCCTGGCACACGGACTGCAGCTACGAGCCCTGCCCGCCGCGCTTCTTCGCCCTGCACGTCCTCCATCCAGACGGCTACGGCGGGGGCACCCTCTCCGTCATGAACGTCAAGCGACTCGGCCAGCTTCTCTCCGTCAATGCCAGGGACGCCCTGTCTCGACCGGATTACCGCATTCGCATTCCAACCGAGTTCATCAAGCAGCCCGAGCAGCGCCACATCGTGGGCAGCATCCTCGCCGGGCTGCATCCCTCGCAGTCGCAGTCGCCCATTGTTCGCTTCCGGGGGGAGCTCGTCACCCCGCTGAACGAGGCGGCCGCAACGGCGCTCGCCGAGCTGAAGCGCCTGCTCCGCGAGCTGGAGACGCAGCCGGCCTCGACCCTGCATCTGGCGGCGACCGAGATGCCGCGCAACTCGATCATCCTCCTGGATAACCGGCGGTGGCTGCATGCGCGCGATGCGGTCAAGGATCCGGCGCGCCATCTCCGTCGGGTGAGGTGGGATGCGGTGCCATTCCAGGCGTGTTAGCAGTATTATTGCTTTTCCTATACATGACCACTTCAAACTCTCCCGTTCTGTACTTGTTGTAAGACGTCCAATTATTTGAATGTGGTGGGGCTGGTGTGCAGCTCCGGGTGCAGGCCAGACGAGGCAAGATGCATCATGCATGCATAGTCCCTGTAACCTTTCGGTAATCGGACTTGAGCGACAGATCCGTGTTGGAATCGATCATCGCCACGTAACTAGGACTAGTGCTGATCATGCGCCTCCTGTTCAGCTGCTTCTGCCGGGTAGGGTAGCTCGGTGAGAACTGAGAAGAAGAGAGAAGAAAGAAAAGAGAGGAAAACAAAAATAGACAAGTCCAAAACCCGACTGAACTGTTGCATATCTGCCAGCTGGTCGTCTTGGTAAATCACTGTGCAGCTGTTGGGGAAGCCATTGAACTGGGATGAAGCTGAGATTGTGCAGCTTGTCAAGGGAATTAGAACAAATCAGTTCACAGCATTTCCCTCTCTGTTTTTTTTATTTGTATCTATGTACTCTTTGTTTCTGATATATGTACAGCTTCTTAGTATCGATAAATGCTGTACAATTGGATTGTCTATCTTAGCCCACGGATATGGCTCCAGAGCGCTACTCTTTGGCCGACGTGCTGTCGATTGCCCGGATCCATCCCTTCTACTGTGAAGATGTCCAGTACCCCCCTAACGCCGATGCGATCCAGGCTGCGCTCGAACAGTCGACCAAGGAGACGGCAACTTCCGACCTCCTAACACAGCCTTTACTTGAAAAGAAGTCTATGTGAGTAGTCCAGGATGCTGTACATGCCGATTCTGGCTAACCTCTTCAAGCTACAAGGCGGTCGAGCGGCTGGTGAAAGATGCCAGCCCGGAGAACACCTACCGTCAGAGCTCATATATGAGCATCACCGGCGGCGGCGGCGGCGGCGTCCCCATGTTGTTTGCCGTCGACGTGCACGAGAACCGTCAACAACGAATGCAAATGGGGAAATTCCTCCGTCTTTGTCGCGTCATCGACCCGAGAGACTGGGTGCTGTCGATTCATGTTGCGGGCGGATTCTACCGGTCCCTGGATCTCACGACGGAAATCATGGAGAATGCCGGGGCGACTGTCCTCAGCGGCGGAAACAACATGACGCTGCAGGAGATCATCCAGGCGCTGGTCCATTATCGAGTCAACGTATTGACCGGCGACGGAAGCCAGGTCGTCCAAGTAATCCACCACATCTCGACCCTCCCGCCGGTAGAACGCGCTGGCATCACGCTCAACAAGATCATCTATACCTCAGAGCCCCTCACGCGCCCACAACGCGACCTCGTGCGCGCCACTCTTCCAGGGGTAGCGATCTACTCCGTCATGGGCAGCTCCGAGGCCGGGCCGTGGGCAATCAGCAACCCTCACCTAACAGGCGAGGAAACCCTCGTCACGGACAGCAGCGGCACAGCGGACTTTGTCTTCGACACGCGCAACATGCACATCGAGATCCTGCCGCAGACCCTCCTTACTGAGGGCGGCTCCTTAGGCAGCTTACACTCCCACCCGCTTCCCCTGGGCGAACCGGGAATCATCGTACAGACCTCCCTGCAGCGACTCCGCAATCCCCTCGTCCGGTACATCACCGGCGACATCGGATCGCTCCACCCCCTCCCCGAACCCGCCAGCGCCCTTATCCCCGCCTGCGAGCGGCAGTACCTGCGCGTGCTGCGCATGCAAGGCCGCGACCGCCGCTTCAGCTTCAAGTGGGACGGCTATTACATCGAGTTCGAGAACTTGAAGGCCCTCATGCAGGCGGAGGGGTACGGTATTCTTCAGTGGCAGGTGATCCTGGACCAGCTCGAAGACTCGCTGCAGAGAACCCTGGAAGTGCGTCTCCTTCAGGCGCCGTCCGGGGAGCGGGGAATCATTGCGCGGGAGGAATTGATCAAGCGCGTGCGGGATTTCTTTCTTGTCCTTCCGGAGAACGAGGGCCTTTTTCGGCTGGTCTTTGTGGACGATCTGGATGGGTTCGAGCGGAGCTCTACAGCTGGGAAGGTTATCCACTTTATAGATCGGCAGCATTGAACTTGTTCATCAGAGATAGGGTGGCTGACTGTGGGTTGCATTTGGTCAATTTACCATATCTGACGCAATGTCCAGACACAACACGTTCTGGTAGGCCTTATGTCGACTGTGTCAGTGGTAAAGCAAGGCATACGGCAGTTTCGAATATCAGCCTGGTATGAAGAGCAATCTTTACCCTATGCATCTAATTGTAACATATTTTCAGCCAGCCGTACTTCTGATGGAGTCCTTGTCTAGCGACATCCATACTAGGCAGATCACATCCATAGACCTACATACAATATGCATTGAGTCAGAAGTAGACAGTCTCGCTGATAGGAATCCAAGGGACTGACAGATGGTGGGACATTTAAAGCAGGGTCTATCGGCATAATTGAATAGTGAGGGCTTTGTGTGGTCTGCTGATTTCTTACCATGTATCTGGATTGAAAGAGGATATATCCGTTCTGTATCCTCAGGCAACACCTGCACTATTGATCATAGTAAATATCCAAGGCCACCGGCGAGCAGACTAATCCCAGTCCCTTCAAAGCGTCACAGATGTCCTAGCACAAAGACGTTCGCCGTACTTGTAGAAAAGGAGAGGTCCCGGGACAAACGCAAGAGCAAGGAACCCCAGCAGGGTATTGCCCCAGCCATAGTTCAAAGCAGCGTACATACTTGGTCCCGCCAGTGGCAGAAAGGTACTGGAAATGTAACGCAAGAGGTTATTGGCACCGAGCGCAGAGGCAGCGGCCTGGGAGCCAAACACGTCAATCAGATAGAGCTGCGCGGGCATCTGTGTGGATCAGAGAGATGCATTACCATTTGTGAGAAAAGGAAGAACACTTACGATGACAAAAAAGGCTCCAAAGCCCATAAAGGTCGTACCGATAATAGGGACAATCCAATGGACCTTGTAGTAGGCAGTCCAGCCGTATATGAAGAGGCCGAGGCTGACAAACGGACTGAACCAGATCATAGGAAGCAACCGATACTCCGGTCGGGGCTGTTGCCCGTTAGCCTTCAATTGGGCTGCCTGAACGCGGCCATTCAGGATGTTGGATATGAGCATGCTGGCGACAAGTGAGACCCCTAGACCAAGATATACCAGCCCGGACACGGAAGTGCTGAACCCGTACTGGCCCTCAAATACGCCGGTGAAGGTGGTAAACAGTAGGTACATCACTCCAAACACCAATGCCACGTAGAGGGATATAACCAAGAGAATAGGTGACTGGAACAGGAGCACAGTAGGTCGAATAAGTACCTGCAGGAGAACCTGGCGTGGGGAGAGCGGTTTGCCGGCAAGCTTGGAACGAAGATGATGATTTCCAGTGGCAGCGCGGAGACCAGCAATTTTGCGCTCGAGGATGACCTTAGGATGAGTTTCACTCATGATAATAAACGCAGATATACCGCAGGATTCTCCTAAGATGGCTAGCAACCAGAAAGTCCAGCGCCAGCCTTTGCTTGCAGCGAGGAAGCCTCCGATGACCGGGCCAAGGACCTGGAAGGAGATTAAATTGATTATTTAAAGTTCAGAAGCAAAATGAAGATACCCAATGATGACACTTACCGGTCCTGCAAGTGGTCCCATGCTAAACAAAGCCATCGCAACCGCTCTTTGCTCAATAGTGGTGATGTCCGCAATGGTCCCTCCGCCTAGAGCCATGGGGGTGCCGCCCGCACAGCCTGATATGAACCGGAAGACTAGGAATTGGGCGACGCTCCGGCTCAGCGCATTGCCAATAACAAAGGCGATGAAGATAATATTGGCAGTGTGGTATACCGGCACGCGTCCATACACCTCGCTGAGGGGAGACATGAGCATGGGCCCAATGGCTAGTCCGAGGACATACAGGGTGATGGCAAGGGTGCTGACGGCATTGGAAGTAATGTCCAGGTCTGCAGAGATGCCACTAATTCCAGGCGCGCACATTGTCGGAGCCATATTCCTGCTTCAAGGTAAATGCACTGACACAGTACCCTCAGCTAGAGGGGCAGGACTTACGTGATGAGGGCTAAGATGGAAATGATGACAATATGCGTCCATCTCTTGTGCTTCGACCAGTTTTTTGGATTGGTGGGATCGTCGGTACCGTCCCAGTCGACAAGATTGGCCTCTTCTAGCTCACTGTCAATGCCTTTCTCCAGCTGGTTGGTAACCGTATCGGAGCTACACTCGAACTTGGACATAATGTCAGGCCTGGACGCGATGTGTGGTTGAAAAACTCGGAAAGCAAAGAGCTAAGCTGCTGAGAAGAAGAAAATACTTGAGCTATCGGCAAAAGCTGGTGATATATGTCGAAATAGGCTCAGAGCTGACAGAGGCATTGCTGCGTTTAAGACTGTCACTGCGGGCACGACCATCTAAACAAAGTGCGAGGTAATTCGGAGATAGGAGGTTCAACTCCTTGACGGATAGCATGACGGCTGGCATGACGACCATAATCAAAATGGATGATGCTATCCAGTCTCGGTATTCGCACCGGAGGCAATTAGGAGGATCGGAGCTGTGGCAGGTCTTGGTGTAGAAAGCTCTATATACTTCGTGTCGATCATCCGCAGTGGGGCGGCGGAGGGTCGGATGATCGGATGATCGGAGCGGAGGATTGATCGTAGTGACATAGTATAACTTATGGAGTTGTCAGAACGGAAGAAGTCATTCAAATTGACCTCTTACTTGATGGCTGCGTGTAAATGCTCGGTTTCTTCAGCATAGACATGAGATGGACAGTTGGTTGTTATCACGTGATCATTCCTCCTCTTGGTTAGTCATCATCCTTGAGTTAATGTAATCGGACACCGAGCGAGACACCTGAACATGATTTTAACCGAGGCCGAAAACCATGAGATATCTTACTACCACGCAGTGAAATTAAAGCAAAAGTTTTCGAATTACCTAGTTCTACTGGGACAGCTTGTTCTAATATGACCAATTTGATGACAGTTACTGCATTGCGGTGGCGCACGCTTTTTACGAACTGGTTCCACCAAGTCCATAGGCTGTAGAGCTTCTTGAGCAAGTTGCTGACCTTCAGACCCTGTCAAGACACCCCCAGTAGCAATATAAGATCTAGGGGCCGCGCGCTTTCGCTTTTGCCTTTCGTTTGCTGCACGAAACTCAATTACCTGGTGCCGTAATAGAACAACTTCATGCATGGTAGTTTCAGCTGCTTTTGCTAGCTGACGGATAGCCTCAGTTGGGGGACTTTGGGAGTTGCGATTGACAAGCTGCTTGATAAGCTCCATCTGCTTTTGCACCTCAGTAGAGGTATAAGGGGTCTTTGCAATCCATTCAGCCTCTGGGGGTCCATGAGCAGTATTTGGGGGGGTGATATTCTTGATAGTAAGCTTATCCAGCACCCTTTGGGGATTCAAAGGAACCAAACCAGAAGCTTCAAATCCACTGCGGATATTCTTGGTTGATAAGGCCTTTTGTGATTCTTTATAAAGATCAAGAAAGTTTTCCTTATCAATGTGATGAATGCCATTTTGGATGCTTCTCATCACCGCGGCACCATATGCCTCCTTTAGGGGTGCAAAGCAGCCAACATCAAGTGGCTGTAGTTTATCAGATGAATGAGAAGGCATATAAAGAGGGACAATTTGATGGTTCTTGCAGAAAAGATCAAACTCTGCGGATTCATGGCTAGCATGGCCATCAAGAATCAGAAGCCGATATCTTCCTAGGGTGCGTGTTGCAGTATGCTTCTCAAAGATCTTTTCTAACCAGAATAAACCAAGCTCATTATTGGTCCATCCATTATCACTTAGACCAATCAGCCACTCAGGGTCGATGTCTTGATACCATTGAGATTGATGGACCTTGCCAGAGAAGATGATTGATCATAGGGGGGAGAGACCATCCAGAAGCATTGATAGATTCAATGACAGTCACCCATTCGCGATTCCCTGGCTGTACGGCTCGTACACGGCTTGTTCGGTGACGAGATGCAGTAATAACCTTTGCTGTAGAGGCCACACCCATTTGAAAGCCAGTTTCATCAAAGTTGTAGATATCCTGTTCAAGAATACCATATTTTACTATAGTATTCTGAACAAGATTAAACCATTGGTTAATGACTTCCGGATCTTCGCATTTTGCACGCTGGTAATCATATTTGCGAGTGTATTTAGATATAAGTTCATCATGCCGTTTGATGAATCTAGTGATCCATCTCTCACTGACTGCTTCCCCCTTTCACTCATGGAGTAGTAAATCTGCCATTTTGCGAACTGCAGCATGTGTTGGTGGTAGCCTCGCTCATCCATATCCAGAATCCATTTCTTTAGGGAAGCTTCTTCTAGACTGCTAAGCTTCTGGCAGTTTGCTGGTATGTCGGTCCTTGCTTTTCGACCCTTGATTCGATGGGCTAGAGTGGAATGTGGAACATCATATGCTGCTGCTGCTGCTCGTATACTTTTAAACTGGCCATTTTGGTATGCTTTGACAGCAAGTAATATGCGACCTTCTAATTTGACTGTTGAATCAGGTTGTTTTAATGCCATATTGGATGGAAACCTGGATCTGATGGTGATTTGGTGGTTGCAGGGTTGAAGGGGTTGAAGGGTGTCTCGCTCGGTGTCCGATTACGTTATTAGCTTTAAGATTATTAATAATATAAGCCTCACATACTTCTATAAGTATCTTAATATTTATATACTTAATAGGGAAGTATAGTATAAACTAGATAAATTTAGTACTATTAAAACCATTACTAATTCCATGGACTAGTACTAGGAGTAGGCACCTTTTAATAATTATATTAGGAAGGTGCTAGAGCAAGAAATTCCTATTAATAATTATTATTATATAACTAGTATCTAGGTAGATAGTCATAGTGTTACCATCCTAGTTAAGGTATATATATATAGTTATATATCTTTAATTATAGAAACCTAGGCTAGGCACTAATAACAGAGGAATAGCATTTAATTTTATAAGTAGTAAGCTAGTAATATTAATATAGAAAGAGTTAATATTCTTAAAGTAAGTAGGTATATGTTTATAGAGTTAGTTATTTGTTATGGGCTACAGTGAACTATAGGGCCCTTATACATAACCTATAAACTACATCTATAGAGGGTTTAGACCTAAAGGTTATATAATCTCCTGTATTTACTCCTATACTATGGCTAACCTTCCTATAGACTAGTAATTAGTTCTACTATATACCTTAATATATAGTTACTTATTCCCTTTATACTAATTATACCCTTATAGATTAGACCTTAGAAGCTGATCTTATAGTTCTAATCACTCTTAACTTTCTAATTAGCCTATTAAGATACTATAGAAATATTAGCTAGATATAGCTAATCCACCTCTAGACCCCTAACTTAATATAAATAAGCACCCCTTATAGAAAAAGCTAGGGAAATTATCCTAATACCTAAAGAATTAGCTAATTCTATAGAAATAGTGACTAAGATACTAGGAGAAGATAATAATAATATTAATCTACTAAGTACTAATAGCAGACTAACCCCTAATAAGATAGAAGGTTAAAGGGGGAATTCTACTTCCTTAGGACTAACCTCTAAAGTTATAGATAATATAAGAATATAATAAGCTATACCTACCTTAGATAATAATAAAGAAATAAGATAGCTCCTAGAAGAAGAGTATTATATTAATTAAAAACTCTAATATACGGAGATTAAATAATAACTTATAGAGAAAAGAGCCTAGCTATAGAATACTAGGGCTAAAATATTAGAGGAAATACCTACCCCTATATTATAATAGAAAGTTAATAATCTCCTTAGATAGGTAGAAGAAACTACTATAATAACCTAAATAAAGGGTACTATACTAGAGTAGCTAAAGAAACCTATAAAAACTAAGCTATTTTCTATAACTATTATATAGGAATATATTACCTTTATTAACTATATAAAAGCCTACTTTAAAGAATATCTAGCCTAGTTTAAAAGTAAGGAAAATTAGGTTTAGGCTACTATAGTATAGCTTATAGATAACTACTATAATAAATAATAGATATATAAAGCTAAGCTAATAGGGAATCTCTAATAGATAGACTTTATAGACTTTTACTTATATCTAGTTTCTATACTAGAAAGGCTCTATAAGAATACTATAATCTAATTCTATAATACTTCTTAGAAAGAATATTAAAGTATATATGAATTTACTATATATATAGATAGTATCTATATCTAACTAGCTAAGCTATTACTAGACTATATCTATAAAGATTTCCTATATACCTATATACTACTAATTATATAGGCTAAAGTAGTTAGATTCTCTAACCTACTAGAGCTACTAGAAGTATATATATTATACCTAGCTACTATTAAAGATAGTATTCCTAAATACTAAGAAACCCTATAGAAAAAATATATAGAATAAGCTAAAACCTTAGTAAAAAATAATAATTAAAGAAATTCTAAGTAATAAAGTAGCAGTAGTAGATCCTAAGGAAGCTACTAATTAGGCTATATAAGAGATAATAATTCCTAAAGGAACAGGTCCTTAAATAAAGATTACTAATCTAAATTAAAAAAGTAGAAATACTTATATTCCCCTAATTAAGATTATCCCAGGCTGCACTATAAGAGATATAGAGAATATAGCTACTAGCTAACTAACTATATAAACTATAGATTCCTAAGTATATAAAAAACTAAGCTACCCTATACTATATACTGCAGCAGTACTAGATATTAGAAAAGATTCTAAGAGTAGCTAAGCCTTAGTATACTATATAAATATCCTTATAAAAGGATACTAATATTAATACTATACCTTAGTTAATAGCAGAGTAGAATAAATATTTATTAACTAATAATAGGTAAAAGAATTCCTATCTAATATTAATAAATTTCTGTAAGTAGTAGAAGCTATTAATAATTATCTTATTACCTTATATAGATAATAGGATCTAGAGGTAGAAATTACTAACTTTATAAAAGTTATTAGGGTCTATAAACTACTAGTAGAAGCTATTAATATAATTAAATATAACCTTATTCTTAGAATAGACTAGCTAAGAGCTATAAATCTAGATATTAACTAGATAAACCTTACCTAGCATTACTAACTAGAGGTTAAGAATAGAGAAAATAAACTAAATATTAAGCTTATATTAGCTACTATAGCTATAAAAAAACTATAAGCCTGCTATATACTCTTTATTATAATTATTATACCTATAGGGACAGAAAAA